GCTCTGGTGTTCATATACATACTCTGTGTGCTAATTATGCTTTTTTAATTGTTCATATAACTGACAGTTGGTGTATGTGCTTAATATGTATTAATCGTATTAGTCTCAATTAAATATTGCAAAATGTCCTTCTGTGCAAAACTTGGAGTAAACCTTGAAAACATTTATTCAGATAATCCTCCTTTCATAAGGAACTTAACCAATGGATCTGTTTTAGAAATATTCAATCATGGAAAATCAATTAATGTAGAAATTAAGAAAATTGTAGCCATACTTGGAAAAGTGACAAAATGTCAAGATATTAATACTGAGGCAACAACTTCAAAACTATACAGACTTGTTACTTCTGACAAATCAAAAAGAGGTGTTCAGAGGGAATCATTCCGAGAACAGAATTTCACCATTCCAGTTTCGACTGCAACTTCACAAACTCGGCCAGAAAAAGATGTTGCTACTCCAAAGGACAACACATTGGAAATTAAGCTTGCTGAAAGGAGAGAAAAGGTGAAGTATTTAACAGAAAAAACTAAACAATTAAAAAGAAAACTACAAAGGAGAGATGAAGCTGTGAAAGTAGAAAAAGAAAAAATACAGAAGTTAGATGTATTTGTAGACAAAGGAATTCAACTAAACAAAATGAAAGTTCAGAAGGAAAGATTGGAGAAATTATTTGAAAAATCTCAAACAAGATCTAAACACCAATCATCCTCACTTATTGACTCAAATAGGAAAATAAAATCCCTACAAAAGAGAGTTGAAAGTACTGAAATCAGGTTGAAGACAATAGAAAAGCAAAAGAGCAACCTCGAAAGAGAAAATATGCAACTTAAGGAAGAGAAAAACAAGTTAACAGCACATGAAAGGGATTTAGAAATAAGCAATGATTATTTACAAGCACTCTTGAAAGATGAAGGAGAGTTAATTGTGTATAATGAGGAAACAAATGTTTTTTCAAATGAACTTGTGGAATGTGCTATGAATCTTACTGATATGAAAGTTGCCGCAAAGAATGTAGGCCCAGTCATAAAAGAAGTTGCTTCCCTATGTGGTAAAGAGCCAAATCGGTTACCGTCGCGACAAACTGTAGATTCCTTTAATGATCGTAAAGTTGCAGTTTCCCAAAAACAATTAAGTAAAGTGTTGCCTTCATCAAAAGACACAACATTATATACTGATGAAACAAGGAAGTTTGGTCACACTTTTCAGTCTTACATAGTAACGGATGAAGAAGATAACTCATACTTACTTGGTCTGAGAGAGATGCAGAATAAAAGTGCAAAATGTACATTAGACACTCTAAAGGAAATATTAAGCGATATATCAAATATCTGCAAACGCCACGAAGACAACAAAA